GAACCAGGGTCCAGTAACAGTAATCGATTGTGTGTAGCCTACTTTCAAAATAAAAGAGAAACGATGATAACACGAATGAATCAAGAGTCTTCTTCGTCTAGAAGAACTCCGAGGTTTCGTCTCGACCCAGGTCCACCCGGGTCCTCCAGGTTCTGGGTGTTCTGGTCCAGGTTCCTCTGAGCCGCTTCTTCTTCAGGACCAATCAGAGGTCGGGTCTGTTGTGTTCTCTGAGCCCCCCCCCAGACACTTACCTGGGTCACTTTCACACCTGATACACAACGAGACACATCCAGACGATTAACACACTGAAGCAGACGGGATTTGTTGTTTCAGTTGTTTTTTGTTTATTGTTTACAACAAGGCTACATCACCGATGATGTCATGGTGTCAGTCTCTCCGTCTCATTACCCAGAGTTCACTCTGTCTCACTTTGTGGAAAAACAACTAAAAGTCAACCAAAGTTAAAAAGGTCAAAGGTGACGCCAAATCCTCCCAGCATTAAAGCCTCTACAGGCAGCCACTCAGCCAAGAGCATCATGGGAAAATCTTTTGGCTCTTTGTATGGCACGGACAAAAAACATCACGACCAAAGTCCCAAAAAATAAATCTTCTCTTAAAAACTGTTGGCCAGGCACGTCCTACAATTGATTACTGATGAAGATCCAACAGGACTGATCCACATCAGTTCACTTAGTGAACTCCTCCTAGTCCTGACCCCGCCCACCTGAAACCTGCTGGACCCGACCCCGCCCACCTGACACCTGCTGCAGGTGTGGTCAGGTGAGTTCGGGGGTCGGGGTGGAGAACTCACTCTGTCAGTCCTTCAGAGTTATTTGTCCTGTTTCACATTCAAAGTCCCTCCTCCATCTTCTTCATCATCTTCATCCCGTCCCTTTGGATCCTTGTCTGCAGTCGCAGCTTTTTGCCGTCACCTCTGAATGTTGGTCAACAAAAGATTTAACCTGAAACAGATGAAGACAACAGCTGCTGAACATCTGGATCACTGGTTTTACAGGTGTGTGAAGAGTTACTTGTGTAGTGAAGAGTTACTTGTGGTCGTAGTTACTTGTGGTCGTAGTTACTTGTGGTCGTAGTTACTTGTGGTCGTAGTTACTTGTGGTCGTAGTTACCTGGTGTTGTGTGAAGGTTGCAGCTATCGGAACAGTCTGGTGAACTCTCTGATGGCCCAACACACCTGTTTACACTCCTCAGCACTGAGGACAGGAAGCACACACATGAACACAAACACAGGGCTGACATCAAGACTTCACTGAGGGAATAGAATCTTTGTTTGGGTTCCTGGAATAAGTTGCTCTTTATTAAGGGTGTCATCGATCGTTATTCGGGTAGATTATGCAACATGGGGATTTACATTCCAGTGGCCGATCCCTGATGATGCAACAAATCTGTGTAGAGATCGGCAGGAGGAGAGCTAGTTAACGTCAAGCTGTCTGATAAAAAGTAAAAAGCTCCCTCTGTGTCCTTCAGTGTGTTCAGGTGAACTCAGGTGTGTTTAGTTCCTCACAGGATTTGTCTCAACTTGCTACGAGGACTCCAGTTTTTCTGCTTTCCACATTCAGATAAACAAGTCTCAACAAATACCTGTCAGATGCCTCATCGCACAATGTTTAACGGGTCCTTGAACGCCTCGCTGTCGGCTCTACGCGCACCCGAGCGCCTCGCTGTCAGTTATGGGAATGGAAAAAGAACCCTAATCATCCCTAAACATGATCGTGTTGCTGGTGACTCACCTGGTGACCTGTTTGTGGAAATCAGTCAGCTGTTTGTGAGTGACGGTCACGGCTCCTCCTGACGTCTCCTTTGGTAAACCTTTCAGAGCATTCTCTAACCAGCGACAAAACGTCTGAAACAGAGAAGAAGAAGAGTTTAAAATCGTACCTGGGGAACGAGCGCAGACTCGACTGAGTCTCTTTATACTCACAGGTCTGTCGAACACCATGACCTCCCACAGCACCTCGGCGACGTCCGGCAGCGTGTACGGCGGCAGGCAGAAACAACACGAGTGCATCAGCTGAGTGATGAGCTGCTGACCGTGCTGCTCCATGGCTTGACCAATCAGCTGCTTCCTCACCTCAAAGTCTTCCTCGTGCTGCAGAGAGAGCGAGAGGACAGACATATGTAATGGTGCTGTCCTCACTGTGGGTTTAATGTAGATTGAATCTCTTTTGTTTCTTCTGACTCACGTCGTTGGCGACTCCGGTGTGAATGAGGTCTCGGACAAACTTCATGACGCTGCAGTTGGCGTCTCGGTGGTCCAATGAGGTGGCAGCGATGGCGCACTGGATGATGTGAACGATGATGCTGCTGCTGAGTAAAGTGACGGGACTCCTTTGGACAAACCTGAACGGGTAGAGATATCAGGTAGATGCCCAGACACGTGTACCGCAGAAGATAAATGTGTTGAGGTGAACCAGCAGACTCACCTGGTGGCCAGTCTGAACAGGTCGTCCACGGTGTCAGGATGATTCCTCAGACCGTTCTGCTGCTCCAACAGCTGGAAAGTCGGCATACACAGAGCCTGGAGGGAGAGGAGGTCATCATGACGAAGGAGATCAGTGTTTCTCATTCATTACCTGGACTGAGACCCGTTATACATATGCGTTATTGTTGCAGCTGGTAAAGGTGGAGCTAATTTTAACTACATTATATACTTAATAATTAGGCTGTGTACTACTTACATCATAGTTTATTGGTTGATTTATATATTCTATTAAGAATCTGAATCTCTAAAGTAACCGAACTGGTGACTGACATTGTCAAATAAATGTACAATATTTCCCTCAGAGATGTAGTGGAGTGGAAGTATAAAGTTGCATATAATGGAGATAGTCAAGTAGAGTATAAATACCTTAAACATGTACAGTACTCAAGCAGCCTAAATGTACTTGTACTCGTTCATTTTGCTCTTGAAGTGCAGAAAAGTCTCTTTTGTGAGTCAAAATTGAATTTAACTCAACTAAATGTTCTTGCACCTATTCTACAGGTGTGTTGGTGCGTTCACCTGTAACATGTCGAGCAGTCCTTGCCTGCAACCCTCCTCCATGCCATACTCGTCCACCAGAATGCTGCCCAGGTACAGGAAGCAGGAGTGTGGATACACCTGATACACACTCACCATCTGATGACAACGAACAGCCAATCAAAACAAACACATGGACAGGTATTAAATACTATATATTCATATTAGTGCTGGGCAAGTTAACGCATTCATTAATTAACGCCGACAATTATTTTATCGCGCGTTAACGCATTTTTAAAATTTATTATAATTATAATTTTTTTTTTATTGAAAGACAAGACACAATACATAGACATCACAACAAGAGGATAAGAACAGTGGGATAAAAGCCAGCAAACATCCTATAGTTAGTTGCGTATGTATGTATGTATATGTGTGTGTGTGTGTGTGTGTGTGTCCTTGAGCCTTTAAACTCAGCAGACACTTGCATGTTAGTGCACCTATATGCTGACATTCACGGTAAACGCATTTAAACGGCACAGATCGGGAGCGAGCGAAGGACTTTGAAAGTTA